CATTTCTGCCATAGATGACGGTCCATCCTCTTACAGCATCGTGGTTAATTAGTATAGCTCTGGACCCAGACCGCCTGGATTTGAATCCTGGCTCTAGTGTGCACTAGTGGTGTAATCTTGGTCGAGTTACTGAACCCTATGAACCTCATGGGGTTGTTGTGAGGACTAAATGGGTTAGTACATATAAGTACTTTGAACACTGCGTGGTGCATAGTAAGGGCACAATAACTATTAGTAATTATCATGGTACTGGTCATGATGATGATCATATGCTTATTTCTCCATCCCAAATTTTCTATGAAAAACCTAAGTGAAAATTAGCAGCCAGATTTATTTTCTTAAATCTTTCTTCTGGGTCTGGGACACTTGCTGATTGGTATACATTATTAGCTTAGTCATTTTTAAGAATTATAAACCATAAAAATAAGTAATAAGGACATTGTATTTTGTCATGAACAATCTCCTATAGTCAGACTAGTATATATATTTTTGATGTTTTTAGGCAGCAGATAATGGCAGCTTTAAACTCCCAGACTGCAGTGCAGTTCCAGCAGTATGCAGCCCAACAGTATCCAGGGAACTACGAACAGCAGCAAATTCTCATCCGCCAGTTGCAGGAGCAACACTATCAGCAGTATATGCAGCAGTTGTATCAAGTCCAGCTTGCACAGCAACAGGTACGATAGACAACCCCAGAATTCAGCCTTAGAGAGGGTTTTTAGTTTCATTGGAACCCAAGTTTTTTTTAACATCTGCCAATGAATTTTGCATTAGATAGCCTCTAAGGTATAAAGTAACTTTTAGGTGATCTTTTAGGAAAACTGTAGAATGGCACTAGCAATTATGAGAGAAAATACATGATATTGAAGCAGCAGATGATGTTATATTGTCATAAAGGTCTTTGGGAGTCAAATGGGCCAACTGTCTTTACAGTAAGTCTGGCATAGACCCTAATAGTGGTTCTGGAACCATGAGGATCTGGGTAACTAGCCTGAGTTCAAGGACATTCTTCAGGCAGTGCACAGTCAAAGGCCCAGACAGCTTCTGATGGGAGAACTCCCCTCCCCTAAGGCTGTGGGCTAGTTCTGCAGAGCTAGGTTGAGCCCCTTTTAACTTTTGTGTTAGACATCATACCTAGGCAGTGCTCATGACAGCACATTGGTAGTCCTCCTCCAATTCTCTACCCCCAAATATTTTGCTTCCACATAGGAGAAGGTGGTTTAGGTGAAAGAACATGGGACTGGGGGTCTTGGGCATTTTATCTTGGCTTTGCCATTGTCTTGTTTGATCTCAGATAAGCTGTTACTGTTCTGACTTTTCTAGCTTTTCTCCCAGTCTGTAAGAATAGGATATAAAATCAAGGTACCTGTCCTGTTAACATCACAGGACTGTCGGAGGAATAAAATGAAAACATACCCTGTGAAAGTGTTTTGTACATATGGAAGATACTGATTTTACATTCACTTTTTATATCTTGTGGAGGTTTAAAATGCCTCCTCAAATGTAACCTATCCGAGTTTAACTTAATTTTCACTTATAAAGCAGTTAACACCTGTCAAAAAAATCTCAGTGAAGAAAAATGTTACACTGTAGTTACTCAGCATTTCTTGTTACATGAAGTAATCTATTATTTTTGCCAAACTCTTTGAATTCCTTGAAAGTATATATCCTTACCTAAAATACCTTTTGCCCTGAGTTTTTGGCATCAGTAAGAAGTTAAAAAGCACTACAGGTTTTGTGTAATCCAAGAGAGGAGGAAAAGATGCCAAACTAGAGTTTATTCAAGATAGTAAGTGGTGTTTTTGAGGGATTTATTCTCTGTCCTTGAAAGCCTGTTTCTACTTTAGCATATCATTTCCCTTTTTCTGCTTCTTTAATAGGCAAGATTAAAATCCTATAATTTTTTAATAGGATAGCCCATACACAGTGTCTTGTTTATAGGTTGCTGTCACTTAATGAGAAGAAAGTCAGTCAGGTAGGGCAAAACCATGAATCTTTGAAATGGAATTGGAAAGCCATAATTGAAATTAGAATGATCAAAGTCAGTTTATCGAATTGATTGGTTGCCTCTGGGAAGAGACAAGGAAAGGGAATGGGGAAGGAACAAAGGGAACTTCCCCCCTATAAAGTATTAATTTTTATATAAATACTGAGCAAAATGACAAAATGGGCATACTTGTTAATTTTCAGATGCAGTTATATGAGTGGGTGTTTGCTACATTGTTCCCATACCTTTCTGTGCTTTTTAAAAACTTTCTAAAGTAGCCGGGCGCAGTGGCTCACACCTGTAATCCTAGCACTCTGGGAGGCCGAGGCGGGCGGCTCGTTCTGAGCTCAGGAGTTCGAGACCAGCCCGAGCAAGAGCGAGACCCCGTCTCTACCAAAAAATGGAAAGAAATTAATTGGACAGCTAAAAAT